GACAGCATGGACCACGACTTTCTAACTTCTTTGATCAGTAGTATGCCCCGCCGTATTGAAGCCTGCATTGCTGCCCATGCTGACTTGACAAAATACTAACTGTTCACCTGTCTTTGAATCTGGAGTAATGTTCTGCTAATATTCACATTTAATACGTGAGTAATGAGTGAAAAAAAATATTTACAATCTTAAATTCTAACTCTGCTAGAACAGGTCACCATATGGTCATACATTATGACGTACATATAAGTGGTTGTAATCTAACCGGATCGGTTGGTCAGGTAAGCTAATTGGTTGATATTTTGATGTAGTAATGGTTAGACAATATCGTCATCACCGGCCGACACATTAAATCTCACCGACCCCAATCATTTCATAAATTATTCTATATCATTTTCCATATACACATTTACAGTTATTTCTTGAAACCCGTATTCACGAGAGTCGAGAAACTTTCTCTTTGTCTGCATATATCATGGTCTTCATTCCGTTCAAAATAGCTTGGAATGGGAACTCGATAAAGCGATGTGAAACAAGAATGTTGATTTATGAGGCCTTACAATCAAGAACAATACATCTTTGTAATTATCTTAATATCTTCATACAGACAAGAGGCATGGCAAATAACTAACAATCAAACTCAAAACATCATCTTGAAGACAATCGGCAATAAGTGCCATTCTAAGTGCTCCACATAATACCAATAATGGTCCAAATGATGTAAGTCCCTCAGGAAATAATATGCCTACTGCAAAGGAGAAGATCTTTCTCAGAGATGAATACATTTTTGCCTGTTAATGACCTATTATAATGACTTTGGAAAACCTGCTTTTTGTCAATCATTGTAAATTGACATCAGTGGTAATCAAAGAATTAGTTTAGGCTGCGCAGCTGTTCGTAGTTTGTCTTTATATGAAAACAGCCTGCAAAGTCTGCGCTCGAGGGACCAATTATGATTGATCAAATCCAGTTCTTTCTGTTCCTTTACCTGTTGTTGTAGAACCATTTTGCTAACGACAGGGTATGTACCATATCAGTGGCCTATTCCAGATAGTACCTTACTTCTTCAAGAAGTCCATGACAATAAGGAACGGAACACAGCTGCCACCAACATATGCTCGTCAATGACGTAAGGGAGACTCAGAACCAGACAAGGGTTTAAAATCGTAGATTAGGATATTATGTATATTATCAACCACGTTTTCAGGAAAAACACTCGATAGTTTCTGAAGCCCTCCAAAAAACTATTTTATTGCCAAAATCCAATGTGGTTAATTTGCAGGAAACTTTTTTAATTTGGCGGCGAGACGTGTTTTGTGCACATGCGTTGACGGCCTCGGCTCGTTTCGTTTGATAGAGTAGGGCGGATAGGCGGAGGTTAGATAAATCATGCGTCGAGTGACGTAAGGGCCGGAATTATCAATATTAACACTGATTAGCGAATGTCTGATATGCTGTGACAAATAGATATAATGTCAGTTTATACGAATATTGTGTGGGATGGATTTAAAAAGAAAACTCTGCAAGAGAAGACAAATTACGAACATGATTACATTGTTAAGCGTCGATAACAAGATCGGACTGGCCAGGGAGAGAGCATAATCACTGTAAACAGCCTGCAATGTGTGTTTGTGTGAGGGCCGAAATTTCCAAAGATTCATATCTAAGAAATTTATACCTAATTAAAACCAGCATGTTTATGATCTGCCGAAAGTTTACGATTTGGTTGACAAAGTGTCAGTTTTAATAAGATGACTTCAAACCAAAAGATCGTTTTAAGATCGATGATCAATGAACTGAACTTTCCTTCCAGTGAGTGAGTGAGTAATTGTGGCTTTACGCCGCTTTTAGCAAAATTCCAGCAATATCAATTGTACCCATGTGGGGAATCGAACCCGGAACGCTTTAACCACTAGGCTACCCCACCGTCCCCTTTCTTTCGACAAAGGCATGACGGATTGCAAGTTGTTAAAGTGTTGTTATTTTGTTTAGAGATGCGGTGAGGTAACCTAATGGTTAAAGCGTACGCTCGTCACGCAAAAGACCCGAGTTCGATTCCCCACATGGATACAATGTGTGAAGCCCATTTCTGGTGTCCGCCTGGTGTCTCCTGCTGTGATATTGCTGGAATATTGCTAAAAGCGGCGTAAACCTAAACTCGCTCACTCTGTTTAGACGTCTACTGTCGGCGAATGTCTGCTTTACCCTGTGTTTCCAGGTTTCCCTTCACCATATCCAAACTTCTTCATTTCACAAGTGGCAAATCTAAGATCTAGTTCACTCCAGACTTTCCTCCCATATCAGGTTGACAAGTAACGTTAACTTTTCGTTTTTAAACGAAACGAACCACGTTTCAGAATATCCTGCTGAACAGGAGGAAAAGTAACATATGTTATGTTGGGGATTACACTTTCTCAGTACGATAGGGAAAGCTTGGGCCCATTTTGTCTCCTACTCTCTACAACCGGCTGGCTGAGTATGGTTTTACGCCGTTTTTAGCAATATTCCAGCAATATCACGGCGGGGTACTCTCTACAGAAACCTCGGGATCTTTGTTCTAAGGGATAATACTATACAGATTCTACATACGTACGAGTGGTAAAGTTTAATGGGTGTCTCCAAAGAAGCGAGAGTGTGATAGATAGACTCTGAGACTTTGGGTTCAAGTCCCGGATGAAGTGAGTGAGAATGTTTTTACGCCGCTTTTAGCAATATTAAGGCAATATCACGACATGAACTTCACACATTGTACCCATGTGGCGAATCGAACATTTCAATGATATAATTGATATCAAATGTGTTATAGAAAGGAAGAAGATCGAGCCTGTTGGGTTGGATAAGCCTAAGGGTGTACATGACAAAAATGTAATCCCATATGTTACATTAGATCACTTTCTAAATGGCATTGTGTATTTGGAAAAGTGGATTGTCTGGTCCAGACTCGATTATTTACAGAGCGCCGCCATATAGCTGGAATATTGCTGAGTGCGGCGTAAAACTAAACTCACTCACTCATTTGGAAAAGTGTCTGTCCTTTAGACTTATATAACTAAAGAACATTTAAGAAAGTTAATTCTGTCAATCTTAGTTTGGACCTCCGTGTGAAGTTAAATAGTCAAGTGTTTTGCCCGTACTGGTCAACAGTGTTAATTCTTGTTGAAAGCACCACAAATCCTAACGCTGTTTAACATTCATAGCGGAGCTGATAAAATGTAGATCAAAACATATGTAGAATTTCTTTCAGAAAACCAGCCTCTTGCAAAACAAATGAAAGCAACATAGTACTTTCTAAATTCATAAGAAATTTCGATTGTACAATGCTTTTGTTTGTTTGTTTTCGGTTTGTTTGTTTGTTTGTTTGTTTGTTTGTTTGTTTGTTTGTTTGTTTGTTCTCGAAGCCAGAACATGTTTTATGAATATAATTTTATATATAACCGTGCCGGATGGCGTCTAGTAAAACGTTCGTGTGTTGCAATCTAGGACATCACTTCCCTGGCTGACTTTGCATCAGGTCCAACTTTCCCACCATTTGGTATTGATCATCTACATAGCCTTGTTTCGTTAACCATATTTTATTTAAAAGCACCATTCTTATAAGAACTACAAAAGCCACGCTCCTCAGAGACGCATCACCTCAGCATTGTCAAGGGATATTCAATACTGTGCCATTGTGTTGGATCCGAGGACAGTCGATATTATAACAAGAAGTAAACACAAAGCACTAACGTACACGGATAGGTCAATTTTAGAAGACAACCCCAAAGCCGCTCTCGGTGTCTATCTGTATATATATTAGTTAGAGGTGGGGAAATCTTCAAAATGATTTCATGATCTAGAGATGGGGCTAAAGCCACCTTGAACACAATTTCAGTTGAATCATGGAGTCTAGCACAACGTGTAAGAAAGGTCCATAGTTAGGCCTGCCCAGGCCTTCACCAATTTTGGTGAAAAGTACAAGAATGTGTATGTGTGTGGGTAACTTTTTGTTGATTGGTTGGTTGGCTGTTTCGTTCGTTCGTTGGTTTAACGCCAATGATGCAGTTATTTAATCAATCCCAGGACATACAATAACAGACATCATAACCATAAATTGCGACCTATTTAGGACCTTCCGGAGACCTTCTCTAACCCAGATTCCTAAAGGAGCATGGGTTAGGTGCTGACCAAACAGAAATCAAAATTCAGAAAGTAGGACTCACTACCATCATCTGCCTCTACGGCAAAGAGCCACAACTCCGCACTGCGACGTTACAGACGACAGTGCTCCCCCTACTTAATGTGCTTCAATAACAAGTAAGCAGACGTGAGAAGGAATACAATTTCGTCGTGGAGGAAGTGAAAATGTCGAATCACCCCATCTGAAGTCGAACTAGAATTAGGATTCTCAACATGCATCAGCATCATCTGCCTTTGAGTCTATGATGCAGATTAACAGCGTTTCACCCTGCATTATTTCTGAACTGTAGATCCTCTTTCTCCGCTAAAGGTTCTGATCTGGATACAAGTAAATTGAATTACCCTAATGAAATGTACCACTCGGGCCTCTCCACCATACAAGTTTAATTTCTCCTCATCCCACATACTTGACGTTGCTTCCATGTCGGGGTATCGATCAGGTGAAGTGGGAAATTTAAGGTCCTCAAGTGACTGATTCCACCAATTTAAAAATAAATCTCTCAGTACTAGAAGATGGATTTTCTAAGAAGACAAAAATTATTGTCAGGAGCCCAACTGCTTTAAGAACATCTGAAGTGATTAAACAGATGAGCTCTAAATTTAGAATCAGTTAGTTCCCTTTTGTGGCTGTGATTACACGGGGACTTTTTTTTCAGTAAGAAGGATGAAATTCTAAATTGGGCAGTGGGCGGAATGCACCAGGTGTGTGGCTACCTGAATGCACGGCAATGATGATGGGAAGTAAATAAGTAGCAAAGAAAGAGATCCAAGTGCGAAATGGTTGATGGTTTTCCACCTGAGACAAAGAGAAATAGCATGGACTGATGCTGTCGTCTCTGAGCCATGTTTTCAGCCACTGGCATCATTCAATGCACGTGAATGAATGCATGAGATTTACAATCAAACATTGACCAAACTAATACATATATTACATCAAGAAAACATCCCCTTTCTTATTAATAAATTAAAAGTTTATTGTTCGATTCCGACCCTATCGTAAATGTGTTCATGAATCAGTATCAAACAGGGATGACACCAGGTGTTCTTGAGAGGTGAGCGTATCGTGCCCCATGGGTGTCACAATATAACGGAAAAGCACCAGGTTCGATTCCCCAAACGGGTACAATGTTTGAAGCCTACTTCTGGTGTCCCCCGTCGTGAAATTGCTGGAATTTTGCCAAGATCGGCGAAAAACTAAACTCACTCACTTACTACAACGTCACGCCGAAGACCCGGGTTCGATTCCCCTGTGGGTATATGATATTGCTGGAATATTTGCTAAAAGAGGCGTAAAACGATACTCACTCACATGGCACAAACACAAAACCAATGCAAGTCAGTTGTTCACCTTAAACAAACACGGAAACGTATGAACAAGAAAGCAACAGCCGGTGGCAGACAAACAAGCCTGTACAACATGTTCGTGAATCGTTTAACAATCCCTGACATGGCTTCCTCTCATTACCTGAACGCGAATTGTATCTAATTAGGGCCTCTACAGCATCAGACAGACGAGGAACATCACCTGTTGTGGTGTCTGATGCCGTACTGCTTTAAAACATCTCGACAACAGGTGGACGGTGGATGTGTAACCATTCAATTTCCTTCACCGGCCTCAGAAGTCCTCTCTCGTTTCCTTCATACCACCGCAACCAGTCAGGCAATAAAGCCGAAGAGACGCCGCCATTTGGAAACGGATAAATCACCTTGACAAGAGACATAGAGGTCGCAGGGGCGTCCCAGTCTGTCGTGGTCATTCGCCATTTCCGGCCTTAGCCACTTCTCGCGTGAGTTCACGAGAACACAGACGATCTGATTCGTATCACGAAAACAGCCAATTTGATGTCTACGAATGTCGCGATTTATTTAGCAGTCAATAGCTATACCGCCGTAAATACCAATACGGCGTATAGCGCACGTTCAATCACTACCCATGGGCTGTGTAGGATTTATAACGATTTATGGCGGCGGCTTTGTAAACGCGACTAGCCTGGACAGGTGACTATGAAAAAAATGTTGACATGCATAATGAAAGTTGGCGTTTTGAGCAGTCGCCTTTTGTTGGTTGGCGTGTGCGGGGAATTTCATCTGAGAGTCTCCACATGGCGTATGTCCGAATGTCAGGTTCTGCGTGATTCGCGGTATACAGCGACCATTGAGAAATTCGTTATAATTTTTATAACGCGTTTTATCAATAGAGTGAGTGAGTATGGTATAACGCCGCTTTTAGCAATATTGCAGCAATATCACTGCGGGGAACACCACAAATGGCCATCACACATTGTACCCATGTGGGGAATCGAACCCGGGCCTTGGGCGTGACGAGCCAACGCTTTAACCACTAGACTACCCCACCACCCCTTTTTTCAACAGAGCATTGGGTATTAGCACTATATCACGACTGCCTCTAAATAACTGAAACCTGGACAATGTAGACCGGTGGTTGATAACATGAGCATCTAACGATGCCGGAATAGGAGCACACATTTTGCTCCAGTCAGTCAGACACATTTTGTGCCCTTTGATCTAGAATTCCGGCAGCAAGGATCTCGACTTTGAATCGTTCCTAACAACATATGCTTGTCGTATGGTATAAGGCTTAGTTAATCTGGTGGATGCACATATAGTCTAACGTGGCGACATGATGGATTGAGCATCATCGTACCCTGACGGCGTGAATCAACTCTCAATAATAAGTATTATTATAATAATGAACGCTCGCAATAATGTCAAAGTCACAAATATTATACCGTGCAAGTCATTTCATACTTTTGTGTTAGGTGGTAGAAAAGTTATTTTGACAAAGCCAGGATGTTAGTGGAGGTTAATCAAGGGGTTCAATATATGATCAACAGATCCTTACACCGCAAAGGGACGCAACCCTGTGACACACAATCTCAGGATAACAACTGCAGAGTAGCATGTAATAAGTGCACACGTGTCTAGTCAATACCTACACTGCACATGATTGATTGTGTTGTCCCCAGCTTCGCAAAGGAGATAGATAATGTTTTTATCGCACATAACGAAAACACTGAACGTCAGTCGATTAGATTGATCCGGCATGAAAGTGCGTCATTGTATACCAGTTTAAAAATAACAGACACAACACGTCTTGCTCAAATTAACTATCTGGCAGAAGTGGTCTGTCAGCAAACAAGAGACAATGTTGACGATGGTAAGAATGAAATTTATTGATCCCCACAAAACACATGTGTATTTATACATCACTCAAGATCTCGGTTAGAATATTATTATTGGTCTTCAGCAACTCATGGTTGGCGACTAATGGAATCGGTCGGGCATATCCAAGTTGCGGAGATCAATGTTTATGGTGAAAATCACTGTATTTTCTGGTACGGATTTGAATATTTACTGATTATGAAGCCGAATATTGCGGCGTTGAACACCAAACGAGTAAAAAAGTCACTCGTCATTGTAAACACACAGAAATGTAAATTACGTTTGTGACGGACACTGTATTCGATTCAAGATTATCTTCGATTCTGGAATAAACCAGAAGAACCATTATTGTGGCTTGAGAAGACAACAATCAGGATCGGGTGGTCGCAACATATCTACATATAGGACATCGCTCGTGTTGTCAACCACTGGTTTGATTTTAGTTACTTATGAAGAAGCCTTGCTGGCTTCTTGAGTGAAGGGTGTCCCAGTGGTCCGAGTCACAGGTGTGTCCATAAGATGTATTTGACACCTCTGATCATCGGTTTGAATACTGGATCAGACCTGACTGTGTTTCAAGGTTTGTGAGCACCAGACCCCCGTGGGTTTCATCAATGGGTAAGCGTCTCAGACCTGTTTCACAGTTAGCAATGTAACAAGTGGTCACGACGTTGTTTAAAGCAGCGTCGAACCCAACTCACTCACTCACACACTCATCATTAAGTATCGTCCCCACCCCAGCAAAAAACATGATCAATTTATATGTGCAGAGGCACTTATAGTTGATTCTTGGGTCTCATCCAGAATGTTTTCATGTATACGTCATCCTGCCTGAGGTGTGTCTGTTTACCTTTGGATTAACGTCTTGCTGTAATATTGATAATTACCAACTACATCTTGCTCACATGATGCCAGTTTTCTACTGATAGACACAATAAAGTTTAACTTTTCTTCAACAATTATCCCGTTCTTGGCATTTGAACCCTCAAACTACATAGTTATTTGGTTCTTTTTGAACTCTATATTGAGGATTAATCATAAATTATTATTATGATATATATAATTGAGTAACAGCTATAGTCAATTGAATTGAGGGTCGGTGGTTAGATGCTGAGCTTCAGGACACCAAAAGTGAGTGAGTGAGTATGGTTTTACTCCGCTTTTAGCAATATTCCTGCAATATCACGGCGGGGGACACCAAAATGAGCTTCACGCATTGTACCCGTGTGAGGTGAGGTGAGGTGAAATTGGGTTTAACGTTGTGCTTGAGAATATTTCGCTCATATGACGACGTGCATGCGTGTGTATGTGCGGCTGCTTGTATTAGCCCAGGCTGAAGCTGGTTTTATAGTGCTATACCATGCCGCAGTGAAGCATGAATACCCCACTCAGACACATTTTACTGACTCCGAGCCAACCAGTCCTTGTTGTACCCATTAATGCCGAGCGCCAGGCAGGGACCAACAAGTTTAACGTCTTTTGGTATGCCGCGGTCGGGGATCGAACCCGCGATCTTCCGCTCTCCGGGCGGACGCTCTAACCACTACACCACGGAGGCGGTCTGTACCCGTCTGGGGAATCGAACCCGGGTCTTCGACGTGACAAGCCAATGTTATTAACACTAGGCTACCCGACCACCCCTTCAACAAAAGACGTTAAAATGTGATACTTGTTGTTGTCACCCTGACACTCGGTGTTAATGGTAAAAGCCCAGCAGTGACACTCAAACATGCATGCACGCTTCTGTAGAAATACAATATACACGACCTTTCTGCCAATTTCACCTTACCTTAACTTGGACAGGGGCGGTGGGGTAGCCTAGTGGTTAAAGCGTTCGCTCGTCTAGCCGAAGACCCGGGTTCGATTCTCCACTTGGCTGGAATATTGCTAAACAATGTTGTAGTGGAGACAAAATGGGCCATTTCTGATGTCCCCCACCGTGATGTTGCTGGAATATTGCTAAAAGCGGCGTAAAACTAAACTCATTCACTTAACTTAGACAAGATACTGAATTTTAAGTTTAGCAGTCACGCTTTGAAAATCAAACACATTTTGAGTGTATGGGGTTTTGTAGGTAATAATATCCTGATGGCCCAGCTTCATCTGAAACATCTATCGATGTGACATTTATTTAAAATGGTTTCTAAACTTTGACGTGTAAAAAGGCAAAAGCACCTTTCAAACACTGGTACATCATGGTGTTAATGCGGTTACAACTCACCTAGGGGACGGTGGGGTAGCCTAGTGGTTTAAGCGTCCGCTCGTCACGCCGAAGACCCGGGTTCGATTCCCCACATGGGCACAATTTGTGAAGCCCATTTCTGGTGTTCCTCGCCGTGATATTGCTGGAATATTGCGGCGTAAAACCGTACTCACTACAACTCAACTGCTTCAAGACTCCAACTAACAAGCATCTATATACTTTATGACATTTAGTATATGTCTGTTTACGGGCAACCAAATATAGGCTACACTATTACCTAATCAATCACCGTCACTCTCATATTGCCTGCGACTAGCCTCGTGGTGGAACCATGCATTTTTACACGGAGAAACGTGCTGAAACTCTTACGAAATGGTAACACTGTTATTTAACAGATGAATTGGTTAGACGGCTGTTGTGTTCACAGTAAGCTATTGGACTACAGCGTCAGTGATGACAGATGTATGGATTCATCTTGGCATCAATACAGCCCTTGTCAAGGTTGCAATTGTTCAGTGAAACAGGAAACCGAGTTTATACAAACAGAAGCGACAAAACCCTTTCCACATCTGGAAGAAATCCCTGCTAAAAGCAGAGTCGATTATACATCTTTGACAATGTCATGAGTATATATTTGTTTCAGTAGTACTACAGCTGTACGATGTTGTTTGTAAACAAATCGAGTCTTAGACATGCTACTCTCAACCCATACAGTGTATGGGAACAGCGCGATTAATCTTACGATACTTCCGCGAAGTAAAGTGCGTTTTGGCGATCAGATACCAACGTTTCTGTTCTGTTTCTGTTTCAGAAGCGACATAACCCTTTCCACGTCCAGAGGAAATTTCTGCTAAAAGCAGAGTCGATTGTACAATTGTGAAATTATCATGAGGATATATTTGTTTCAGCTGTAGTACAGTTGTATGGTGTTGTTTGTAAACAAATCGAGTCTGGACCAGGCAATCCAGTGATTGTCACCATGCGATACGATGACAGAGCATGTGTTTTATGAATCACTATGAAGTAGTGATGATACCAGGTGTTCAGAAAACGTATTAAAATGACACCTGAGTCTTATTAAATCGTGGAGTCCTCTTGATATTCTCATTAAATCATCGCTACACTATTCGTGGAGTCATCTTGATATTCTCATTAAATCATCACTACACTATTCGTGGAGTCATCTTGATATTCTCATTAAATCATCACTACACTATTCGTGGAGTCATCTTGATATTCTCATTAAATCATCACTACACTATTCGTGGAGTCATCTTGATATTCTCATTAAATCATCACTACACTATTCGTGGAGTCATCTTGATATTCTCATTAAATCATCACTACACTATTCGTGGAGTCATCTTGATATTCTCATTAAATCATCACTACACTATTCGTGGAGTCATCTTGATATTCTCATTAAATCATCACTACACTATTCGTGGAGTCATCTTGATATTCTCATTAAATCATCACTACACTATTCGTGGAGTCATCTTGATATTCTCATTAAATCATCAATATACTATTCGTGGAGTCATCTTGATATTCTCATTAAATCATCACTACACTATTCGTGGAGTCATCTTGATATTCTCATTAAATCATCACTACACTATTCGTGGAGTCATCTTGATATTCTCATTAAATCATCAATACACTATTCGTGGAGTCATCTTGATATTCTCATTAAATCATCAATACACTATTCGTGGAGTCATCTTGATATTCTCATTAAATCATCACTACACTATTCGTGGAGTCATCTTGATATTCTCATTAAATCATCACTACACTATTCGTGGAGTCATCTTGATATTCTCATTAAATCATCAATCATCTTGATATTCTCATTAAATCATCAACTATATACTATTCGTGGAGTCATCTTGATATTATCAGTAAATAATCATTACACTATTCGTGGAATCATCAAGATATCAACACGGAATCATCAAGATATCATCATGGAATCATCATGGCTTCTTAAGGAAATTATCATGTAATGATCAGGAAATCATCTTCCATCTATACGGAGTCAAGATAAAAACTTCATAATATATATTTTTAAATAAAAATATGAATTGTTATAGTAGACAGTTTTCGGGTATCATAATATTAATTCCAAAATATCGCCTCAAGTAAAAAGTCACCACAGCACATATAAGTTAATCAAAAAATCGTGCACCCCACAATAGTGCTAAAGCGTATTATTAACGTGCCACTGGTCACGTGATCTTATCATTGCACGTGCATTCGATCGCACATGTTCCCATCAACTGTACAAAGTGAAAGAACACTTTAGAGTACTAACAAGAACAGCCAATTCTTATGCCGCGCCTCTCAAACGTTCAGCGCGAACGTGCCGTTGGCATGCTGGAAGCGTGAACGTAAGTGACGTTGCAAGGTTAATGGGGTGCAGCTGTCGGACTGTTTATGATGTACAGACTCGACTGCAACAAACTGGCACCACTGCTGATCGCCCAAGGCCATGTCAACCACGTGTGACGTCACAGGCGGAGAACCGTCAAATTGTTTTACGTCACCTCCGTAATCGTTTTTTGACGGCTACAAGAACCAGAGATGAGCTGTTTAGAGGTCGATTGTCGTCTCAAACCATCCGAAACTGGCTGCGAGCTGCTCACCTTCGTGTTCGACGACCATATCGCGGAACCATTTTGATGCCATTACATCGACGTCAGCGTTTGCTGTGGGCCCGACGACACCTCCGATGGACTCAGAGAGACTTGAATCGAGTTGTCTTCAGTGCTGAATCTAGATTTACCCTCAGATTCGCTGATGGTAGGATGAGAGTGTGGAGGCGACGCCGTGAACGTTATGCTCAGTGTTGTGTACAGAAAGTTGAAAGATTTCGGGGCGGAATTATCAGGTTTGGGGTACTTTCTGTGGGATTGCCCGTTCCAGACTTCTGGTTATCCGTAGGAACCTTAATGCTGCAGTTTTACGCGACCAGGTGCTAACCCGGAACCTATTCCATTCATGGCAGCACATGGTCTAGGTCTGCACTTTCAACATGACAATGGCAGACCCCATACAACCAACTCTGGTATGCTCTTGGTAGTGGTCTGTGCACTCTCAGTAACCAACCACAGAATTTGCAGGATCTTGGTGCTGCTTTGCAGGAACAATGGCACCGACTCCCCAATAATGTGTTTACATGCATCAGGCAGTCCATGAGGAGGCGTTGCTTAGCAGTTGTGAACGCATGGTGTGGCCATACACGTTACTGGACGTTTGGAACATCAGAATTAAATTCTTGTGACTTGACACTTTGTTTACCCCTATTAAAGATAAATGCTGTAACCACATGGAACCGACTTTTGGCATTGTGGTTATTCTCAGGTCATCCTAACGACCTTAACAAATACATGATAACCTCTACCACATTCTTGGTCCTTTCTTTTATATATTATCTAATAGCTGATTGTGAAGTTTTAGTTTGACTCAGTATATATGTCTATGTTGCGGAAGTATGTGTTGCTGGCTCTTTCTTTCGCTTTTTTACTCTCTCTGTCTACCCTCTCTCTCGCTCTCTCTCTCTGTTTTCCTCTTTTTCTCTCTGTGCCTCTCCCCATCTCTCTTTGCCTGTCTCTGACCTTATCTCTCTCTGTCTCTGTCTCTCTCTGTTTTACTCTTATTCTCTCCCTGCCATTCCCAACTCTCTCTCTGCCTGTCTCTGTCTATCTCACTCTCTTTGTCTCTCTCTGTTTGTCTATATGTCACTCTCTCACTCTCTCTCTCTCACCTCCCCCTCCAGAATCTGAATCTCTGGTTTCCCTGGGGTTCCTTTTGAATTTAAATGGGCTTGTTTGTTACTTTAAAATTATATATATTCAAAGACTAAGCGTTAGTGTGGATTTGTGTGTGTGTCTGCGTGTGTCTGCGTATGTATCTCTCACTCTCTCGTCTTTTCTCTCACTCTCACTCACTCACTCTCTCTCTCTCTCTCTCTCTCTCTCTCTCTCTCTCTATTTCTCTCTCTCTCTTTCTCACTCACTACTTCTCTATCTGTCTCTCCCAGTGATTGTATTAGCGACCAAACATCATCAGTACGTGACAAGTCCGCGTCACAAAGTAGCATCTACCTGTCCAGCTCGGCCCAGTCTCTTCGATTTCCAGCCAGTGAAGCTGATAAGAGGATATCTAAATAGCCACCCTGAGGCTGTTTGTCAGTTACTATTAACTAATTTGATAACATTGACTCAACCTTTATGTGCTTCGTTAGTGGGCATACGTACGTAGAGACGTGTGATTGACACAAATGTACAGCACTCATTGTATGTCGATGATGTCGTTATATATAGGAGCACTGGTCTCCGCGAGAGGGTCAGGGGCTGTGTCATTTTGTGTGACACATTTAGAATTTATTCTATGTTCAAAACATCTCACTAATGAAGACCGTCCTTTTTTCATTAGCAATAATGTACACGCGAAAATGTAACTCCACCTAATGTACGTTTATATATCTTTGTCGATATAACCATGTGTATATGTTTGATATAATTGCAATTTATATACGGATGAAAATACTTTGATTATGACTTGCAATATCCATGCGAGACTTACCTCTGATAGCCCCTGTTAGTTTACGGGCAAGGACCCTGGCTGTTTGTTGAATCAATAACGGAAGACACTTTCAGACTGAACCCTTTATATTGTGACATATCGACCATTCTGTGTATTGTAATGACATGGTAAGACTTGGTTCTAAATGGTGTATGAGTCACTAATTGTTCAAGAAACTTACTGGGTTAGATTATATAAAGAATCCTGCTCAGGTTCACGTCAGGTGTCAGTGGTTCTTCTAGGTACAACTAGTTCGTCGATGTTTAGTTATTTGATATGTTTTCAATTTCGCTTTGTTCTTCTTAGGACCTTACAACTAGTTCGTCCTTTTCAGTTTAGTTATCTGATCCTAGTCAATATGAATAATTTGTCCTTGAGAGCTTAGTTACTGGTCCTAGTCTGTGTTGATAGCTTCTCCTAGTAAGCTTAGTTACTTGGTCCTAGTCTGTGTTGGTAGCTTCTCCTAGTAGGCTTAGTTACTTGGTCCTTGTCTGTGTTGATAGCTTCTCCTAGTAAGCTTAGTTATTGGTCCTAGTCTGTGTTGGTAGCTTCTCCTAGTAAGCTTAGTTATTGGTCCTAGTCTGTGTTGATAGCTTCTCCTAGTAAGCTTAGTTATTGGTCCTAGTCTGTGTTGGTAGCTTCTCCTAGTAAGCTTAGTTATTGGTCCTAGTCTGTGTTGGTAGCTTCTCCTAGTAAGTTATTGGTCCTAGTTATTGGTCCTAGTCTGTGTTGGTAGCTTCTCCTTTTAGTTAAGCTTAGTTACTTGGTCCTAGTCTGTGTTGGTAGCTTCTCCTAGTTAAGTCTTAGCTTCTCTGGTCCTAGTCTGTGTTGATAGCTTCTCCTAGTAAGCTTAGTTATTGGTCCTAGTAGTCTGTGTTGGTGGCTTCTTAGTTATTGGTCCTAGTAAGCTTAGTTACTGGTCCTAGTCTGTGTTGATAGCTTCTCCTAGTAAGCTTAGTTACTTGTCCTTGCCTGTGTTGAAAGCTTCTCCTACTAAGCTTAGTTACTGGTCCTAGTCTCTGTTGATAGCTTCTCCTGGTAAGCTTAGTTATTGGGTCCTAGTCTGTGTTGATAGCTTCTCCTAGTCAGTTAGAAACGTTAGATTTATTAAGATAATTTGCAGTTGTAAGATAAGTTTCTCCGTCTAAGCCAGTGTGGATAGTGTGTCCTTGTAAGATGTGATACTTGGTCCTAGTCATTGTGTCCTTGTAAGATGTGATACCCTGTCCTCGTCATTGTTGGTAGTTTGTCCTTGTAATATGTAAAATTGGTCCTCGACACTTTAGTTAGATTGGTCCTAGACAGTTTAGTTAGTTTTATCCCAAGTATAAGTTTGTTTTGCGGTTTTATACTGTCTTATACTATCTGCAACATTGCTTAGAGCAATGCTTGACAGTCTGTTTAGCTCCAATAATCAGCTTCTTTCCAAAATGACCGAGAGGTCAGTGACTTCCGGTCAACCAACCACTAAGTCAGGCATGTTAGTCTCAGTGTCCTGTTACGGTTTACTGAGCCTAAACACTGTCTTAGCATATTGATCATTACAAGTTCCCTGGTGCGAACTTGATAATCAAAATGCATCAAGTCCACGTGAAAATGAATGGTAAAGTGTGAATGACCAAGGTTAATTAGGATGCACAGGCGTTATATAGCGAGAGACATGCTGACCTTTCAGTAGAGGTCAAACAGGATATCCTGTCGTAGGTGTTACTGGCACGAGATTATCCTGATTGACGATAAAATGTGCCAGCATCCGCACCGAAATATGGGTCTGAAAGAGTCAAGGTGCTGGGTTCCATTAGTAAGTACTAGTTTTGGTATTGCACTTAAGTCATTCAAGTTAAACACTTACTAGTTAATGTGCTGCATTAACATTTAGGCAGAATTGAGAGGAGGATAACGAGCGTACAACGGAAATGGCGAATCAATATATGTCTGTAGAAGGTTAGGGTTTTTGAATCAATTGATATGTCAGTAGACTGATAATAAACCAATTTATCACTTGCAAATCTGTGTTTCATACTGTTTGTGGCTTATACGAGCGAAAGATGTTAACAAACACAGATTCCTGTCATATTGTTAGTGCTATACAAAACCTTACATCATTAACTTTATTCATGCATGTCTTTATGTATTTGTGAGTACTATGTTATATGTTCATTCGCGATGTAACCAAATTTCCCACTAAAAGAATAATCTTATCTTTTCTCAACATGCTTGCCTAAGTGGTTACTGTCCAAACGGTTATTTTGGAAAACATTTTTGGAAATCGATTTGTCTGACTGACTGAGGTTAGTTTTACGCCGCTTTTAGCAATATGCCAGCAATATGACGGAGGGGAACACCAGAAATGGGCTTCACACATTGTACCCATGTGGGGAATCGAACCTGGGTCTTCGGCGTGACGAGCGAACGCTTTAACTACTAGGCTACCCCACCGCCCCTCGATTTGTCAGCAAAGAAAGCCAATGACAAAACGTAAATTTACCCTCGTAATATTTTAGTTCATTTAGCTTTATTACTTAATGGGCTCCTCATTCGATATCGGCAGAAGAGGAGGTTGGGGTGGGAGGTCTTGGGTTCAGGGATAATTGTCAGCTGCAGGATACTATTCATTTCCATTTTCATTGTTCACAGACAATCAGATGATCCAAAAACATTTCGGAAATCAGTTCATCGTTTGCGATCAACAAACAAAACAGAACAAATGGTTCTCAATCATATGGACCGAACCTATAACTTTCCTAATGATTTCGGAAAGTTTTCCTAATATAATAACTTACTCATACCAAAAGGGTCCTTAAAACACCCTCGCCCATCCCCCCCCCGTGAACTTCATTTCAGCGGTTTCTTAGCTCGACTTATCAACATTACACATTCCTTACATGTGTTTGCAGTTGTTCGCGATTAGGACGAGCTATATATGATTCATGGCTTAAGCATTATTCCATTATGAAAACCAGTGTTTATTCAGCCACCAGTCATGCATATATACTGATGAGATCAGACGCTTTATCCGGATATATTGCGAGAGCCGACATACAGTTGGTGACCTCAGGCTATTTCTGTTATCACTCCATACTTGGTAACTGCTTCTGAGGTTAAAACTACAGAGCGCGTATGTGCAATGCACTGTAGCAGGCTCGCAATCATTTGAGTACATTTGTCTGGATCTGTTTCAAAGTCACTGGGCAATATCAAACAGGGTATTAGTGGAAAGCGATAAAATGATAGAGAGTATGGTATCAGGGATGAGTTACTTTGCATGAGTTGTCATCCAAAGTTAACAGTGGACGGCGTTCGTCCCATGGTTATACATATGACGATATTAATAGACTTACATAGAAGTTTAAATATAAAATATTCACATTTAATGAAGATAGATACTGCCGCTTTTCATTCGTGAAAAGACGTCTCAGGCCAGGGAATTACTTCCTCAAAGGCATGCGAGACAGATGCGGATGTCGACGTCAAACTTTATCACAGACGTTTATCCTCCGAGGCTTTCTTGCTCCACAGCATGAGCTAAAATCGAAATTTGGAAGTTTTATTTCAGGCCGAAATTCTCTGAAGGACGTAAAAACAACAGAGTGATTGTTGAGATCTCTCGGTGATGGCATCGATGCCCGGATGAAGGGGCGACAACTCTGCAGATTTGCCTTGAGCCCAAACGGAAGCACGGTGAGGATGTCTGGGATTTCTTTTCGTATCTGGGGTTCGGCCATTGATTTCGCTGTTTCGAACAGACATGATCATTCATTATGCATTATACTCGTATGGTGTGCTGCTGACAATTCATATTTTTCGTTCTTATACTATATTTAACGCTATATATTTTCGAACACGAAAGGTAATAAAATCATGTTATATACAGTAGGTGGTGTATTTGATTTGTTCATCCTATACAGCTTTCATCAAACGATGCATAGGTATGTTTTCTGTAGCAAAGAAAAATTGTACCTATTTGTGATATTAAGATAAGGGCAAAACAAAGGATTATGACATTGTTTTTGAAGAGTTTTTAAAAAGGCTACAATCCCTTTCTGTGTGAAGAACTGACGACATCTCCATTGAAGGTTGATCATTCTGTATAAAGGAGGCCTCATGAGCCACACTTTCTGAAACCTTCCACTTCACATCTTCGGATTTCAGCAAAATAAAGACATCCAAAACACTAATATGCCCTCCATTGTACATCATTGTTGGTGTAGTTGGCATGTCACTCAAACACGTTCTTAATCTGATTTTTGTTCATCGAAACAAAAATATTATTACTGGCAACAAAGTGTACAGAATATTAAAACACCGATTGCCAGAACGAAACGTCCGATTTAGAAGTTCAGAATCAGGACCAATTTCGAACCCACGTCAGATGATCCTAACACACTAAAGGAACGCAACTCTGGAGTGTATGCACAAGACACAAGACAAACTTACAGAAACACAGTTTCAACAGTAAATTGTCCGAGGTGAGTGAGCGAGTGAGTGAGTTGGGATGCAGGCATGACATTTCGAATATTTGCAATGTTTCTCCATAATCTTGTCAGTCAGATTCTTGTGCAAAGAGACAGACACAGGGAGATCAGACCACTGAGTGTGTTCAACATAACGGAAGGTTTACTGCCTCCACCTGAGACGAACCTATCATACTGATTATTATCATACTGTATTATAACTATTTATCCATGATGAACATAAAGGCGTTGTAGAGGTTGGTACATTTGATTAAATGCTTCATTCCTTCAGAAAATGACACTGAATGATTCAGAAGCTTCACAATCTTGACATTTTCTGTAGAAATATGTTAATCGCTTTAGGACTAAATCAATACCAAATGATTACCTATCCAAATCATATAATCACGGGTTAATTGTGACCACA